ATTGACATTGTTAATTACATTTATGATTTATTCGGTCATCGGTTGTTCAACCCCGGTTCAACTTTTGAACCTCTCCTACCGGCTCAATGTCCAGTTCGGTTTTCACAACCTTGTTGATATCAAGGACAACAACAACAACAAAGCCTTAATCCCACTACGTGGGGTTGGCTACAACCTTGTTGATATCAGGACAAGGCTTATGAAAATGTGTGCAAACAGGATGACCAAGCACTAAGTTGGGCTAGGGCATGTCGTGAGTGTCTAAGACTTTTGCTTTCAAACGACTTGAGGAGCTTCTTGTGATGGTGCAAAAGATACAATAATTTTCCCCTAGATTAGTTCACTTTGAATTGCTTGAACAACCAATCTCCGATGCAACTCCAACAACATTGGTTGGGGACAGGATTACAGGCTTCCTCCTGGCCTCAAGTGCTCTAGGCCAAGTCCTCCTGGTTTGGAAGTGGAAGTACGGTATGAGATGGCTTGGTTGGCGAGTTCAAAAGTGTTGGCTTGCCTCATTCTTTGGCTCCAGTATCTCAAAATAATGTTAGCTGGAATGGGAACACCTTGTGAGGCTTTTGTGGTTCTTGACTTTGAATTTGACATGTGATCATGATGCATTGACCATTATTTGTAAGATTGAATTACTAGAACTCAACGTAGTACTTTAAGAGGCCTTAACTGTATTGAGTTTGCTCTCAAATGATGGAGCACTTGAGCGATAGATTAGAGGTCTTAAGGAGTTGATTGGTGCTAATCCTCTTTTATAATCAAGCTGAAAATCTGTTGTTAAATTCTGGGATTAGTAGAAAATAAGCAAAAAACTTGAAAGGGTAATAAAGTTCTTAGAGTTCGAAATTGCTCTTGGAGGAATTTTGGCTTAACCATTAGGGCATACTTGATTAAACAAGGCTAAACATGTGCTTGGCTGACTAAGAAGGATTAGGGACCAAGATAGGTTTTGGACCTAGGATAATTTGGCTTTGGTTCAAGTCAATATGGCTAATTGATCTCAATTGACTTGGTTGGTTATTGGTTTAACCTAGGCTTAGGCTTGGTCCATGGTGGGTCTTGTGGGTTTTTAAGCATATTAGAGACACTATAGTAGTTATGTAGTCTCAGGGGTTCAAATGGCCTAATTTGGTCAATTGTTTCAAAGTACTCAGATGGGTTAACCTGGATTCACCTTTTGCTAACTTTGAAATGCCATGTAGTTGGATAGACCAAAGAGGTAAAGCTAGATAGCATAATGGCTAACAAATGGGGAAATAGGTCAATTATGAATTTAACCTATGTCTAGTCTTGGCTTTAGTCATTTAAGGTTCTAATTGTTCCATGGAGTTTCTTAGCTCAAAGAGAGACGAAGCCAAGTTCTAATTAGCTTAGGTCAAATGTGCCTAAGCTCAACAAAGTCTAGTTAGGTTGGTTTCGGTCTAATCTTGGTCTAGTCTAGGTCAAATCCTATCCAAGCCAAAAGTCATAGGGTTTTAAAATCTCTCTAACACATCATCGGTCCAGCCATGATGGCCTTGGTTCTTCTTAATGTCGTCCAACCATGATGGCCTTGGTTCTTCTTAATGTCAACTGGGTAAGCTCATGGGTCAATGTACCACAGAAGGTCATGGGTAAGGACTTAGGTCTTCTTAATGTCAACTGGGTAAGGCCATGGGTCAATGTAACATCGGGTTAGGTCTAGGTCAAGTTTGATCAACCTAAGGTCTATCTATTCTAACTGGGGTCATGGACTAAACAGACTGATCTCGGTCCAAGTTAGCTGATCTATGGATCATCTAAATCCAATTTAGACATTTTAGGTCAAATCACACCAAGTTTAGGTTAGGGTTTAGTCTCAGGGTGAAAACTAGACTAGAAATATCTTGCTTGGGTTTGGATTAGGTATGAATTGGCTTAGTCATCTACAGTCAGGGACTAGGTCTAAGAATACATGAAGGTAAAATTAAAGAATCAAAAGGAATGCTGCTTGCTATGGATGAAATTTTCATGGTCCAGGATGTTCCTTTTTACCGAGACATCCTCCTAGAACATAAGAACACCACCACCAAACAAGAACCAGAGGAGATTTTTCACGTTCGCAAAAATAGTTGATTACCAATTAAAGCTGAATGATAATACACTAGGGAAGTTGGGCTAACAATTTTTCTTAATCTGTAGCTATAATTTCACAAGATTGAAATTCTTAGAGGTGGGACTCTTGATATTGGGATCAATTTGATCATTTATGATGATTTAGGTATCAGATTGTGGAAAGGTTTAAGGAATCACATTCGCTAAAAGTTTACAATTTAAGTTCTTGTTGAAGATTGACCGGGCTATTGATTTTATTTATCATCGTCTAGATAGAAAATCAAATTGACCAATGTTAACATAGGAAAACATATCATTTATTGGAGACGTCATAATCACAATCAGGAGGTAGGAAATGTGGACCATTGGATCGGAATCTAGATTAAAGCAAAATGCCTCTTAAAATTATTTTGGATAAACTTGTGATCTTAATTATAAATTCGAGATAGGATTGCTTAGATTGTGTAGTTTGCTTAGGAATCAATTTTCTTCTTTTGAGGAATAAATTTAGGATGAAGAGGATCAATTTTTGAAATTACTCCATGTAGCAGTTACCTATAAGTCTTATTTTCCTGTATCGAAAAAAATCTGATTTCTCAAAAATCTTTCGTCTCTTCTTCTCACTCTCCTCTCTACAGCTAGCTCCACCCAGCAGTCCGCCACTGGTCTTCCCAGCAGCTAAAAGCCACAGCCTTCAAGCACTCTTTTTGTTGCGGCTAATTCCAGAAATCGTATGGGTGCTTATCTGAATTCTGCAAGGGAGGGAAAACAATATTACGAGTTTGTTTGCTGTATGCAACAAAAGGTTGTGCTTGCTATTTCAAGATAAATAAAGGGCAAATCATAGAAATTACTTGTTGGGAACAAAGAAATCGCTACTAACTATGTTTTGTGGTAGAATTCAAAATGTTAATATGGAGGTTGGATAAATCTTGGTGGAATAAGATGACAGATGACTCTATTATAGTGATGATTGAAGTAGCACTTATTGAATATAAGATAATAAACAATGTTCCTGGATATTTTAGGTAGGTGTAATGGCGGGTAAATGTTCACCAATAAGGCAAGTGTGAATGCTTTGTTATGATAATGAATGCAGTTAAGTAATATGATCAGAAATTATGCAAAAGGATATCTACAAAATAGAGTTTAAGGTCTCATGAGAGCTCAACTATGAAGCACGGATATGAACACGAGGTCACAAATAACTGCAAAAGTCGGACAGGGTGTTACATTTTATAAAGTATAAACATAAATTTTGTTATTTTTGTTAACCAAATGCTCCTACTTTTTTTCACTTGGTCAAATGTTTTCATAAAAAGTGTATTTTCATCCTCTATGACATTTGTGCCTATTTCATAAATCATTTTTCTATTGTACAATGAAAAGTTTACTTTGCCAAATGAACTATTCATTATAATACATGCATAAATTTAACTTTTCAACCGGGCCTAATATCCCATAAATGTGCTCTAATATGTTTTATTTATGTTGCATGTGTATGTATAGTACTCATCAACATTAACATGTTTTATGTCTTTATAGCACGCACAAAATTAAATGTTCATCCTCTTATTTTTAATTTTATTTTAGATTACAAAATGAGTTTTACGTGAGATTTTATGTGCTTTTGAAAATAAAAATTTTCCAACAATCAGGAGCTGGTGGAACTTCTAAAAAATTGGAACTTTTAAAATACATTTTGAAAATAGGCTTTGAAAATTAAAGGTATAAAGAAACTAGTTCTTCAAATTTAACGTAAACTTTGACAATACTCCAAATAGATCAATATATAATTAAAAGTGTGCTTATGGTTAGGTGTGGTTAGGTGTGGAGGGGATGCATAAGAAAATCGTTCGTGTCATAGAAGTGGTGAGGGCACACATGATTGTTGTCATAGAAGAAGAGTAGGAGATGGCTATGGGTGCCCCTGATTTCATTGACAAGAGTGTGGTAACCCTAAGATTTAGCGACGAGATGGTTATGTGGAGTTTTGTTGTTATAGTAGAAGAGATGTTAGGGCATGGGGAAGGCTGGGGCACATGAGTCGCTATAGTTGATTCAAGTTTTCTTTGCAAGTTCACACGGTTTTGTTTTCTCACAAACATGTTCTCCACTCTTGTGAAAAACATGTCGAACAATTAGTACCCATGTGTGTCCAGCACGTGTTGGAATTAAATTTCACACTTGTCGAACACGAATTGGGATGCATCGAAATTATGTTCATGTTGACACCAACACATAAGATATTTAGAAGTGACACTCTTCATAGGCACTCAATAAGAATGAATGGAGAATGCCTGGTTATAAAGCTATTCCCATGCCCATGTTGAATATGGTAGAATTGAGAATGTTAATATGGAGCGTGATAAAACTAGGAAGAATAAAATGACAAATGACTATATTAGAGTGATGATCGGAGTAGCACTCGTTGAAAATAAGATAATGGAAGAACATAGATATTTTTTGTGGGTGCAATGGCCGGTAAATATGCACCAACAAGACTAGTATGCATAATTAATATGAAATGATTATATATGATAATGAATGGTTAACAGTAATTTGATTAGAAGTTATGCAAAAGGATATGTATAAAATAGTGTTGAATAACTCATAAGCACTCAATAGGAAGGGGAATTTATATATGGCATGTTCTTTTTGCATCCCTACTAATTTCCACTTCTTCATTTATGAACCATAATATTCTTCTTTTTGCATCAAACTCGTACAGACAGTTTTGCAACGTTGTGCAATATATATGCTTTGTTTTTTATGTCAGAAATATTATTTTACATAGTTTAAAATTATTTTACATTATGTATCCCTTCTCAGACTGAAGTTTTAATTTTAATTGTTTTCATGAAAGTCACTAACTTTTGACTTTTGTTTTTTTTTTTTTACCCGGTATTTAACAGTATGGGTGCTTTCATTCTAAGTTCAGGCACCAAGGGTAAATATTTAACGTTTCAATTTGTTGGGTTAAGTTTTTTTTTTTTTCCCAGTTCATTTAATGCCATAATTTATATTTCTTTTGACCAAATTATTGCAGGAAAACGCTTCAGCCTACCAAACTCCCGAATCATGATTCATCAGCCCCTGGGCGGCGCCCAAGGAGGACAAACTGACATAGACATTCAGGCATGCTTCATATGTTGGGATTCCTCTCTCTCTCTCTCTCTCTCTCTCTCTCTCTCTCTCTCTCTCTATATATATATATATATATAAACATCTTGATCTTTAAATCACTGCAAAAATATCACTAGCATTAGCTTATCTAAAGAATAATACATCTCTGCATGCATATGTCTTGACATGTTAATTTTCTTTACTTAAAACCTTATTAATCAACAGAACAATGTATAAAACCAATATTTGTCTCAAAATGATTTTTTTTTTTCTGAATTCTTCCAACATCTTCAGGCAAATGAGATGCTTCATCACAAGGCCAATTTGAATGGATATCTAGCTTACCATACGGGCCAGAGTTGGGAGAAGATAAACCAGGATACAGATCGAGACTTCTTCATGAGCGCCAAAGAGGCAAAAGAATATGGCTTAATTGATGGAGTAATAATGAATCCACTGAAAGCTTTTCAGCCTCTCTCAGCTTGAGATGAAGAATAAGAAGAATCAAATGGGTTCTAAGACTAAGATTAGAGATATCAGAGCTCAAGGATTGGAGTAATCTGCTTTGCTGCGAAACTAAAAATTTTGACCCTTGAGAACACTTTGCCTCATATAGTCAGTATTATTTGTCTTATTGTGCCTACTAGAGTTAAGAGTTAGCTTACAATGCTGCTTGAATATTTATCAATTAAATGAATATCAGAAAATTGTGGCTCTTGAAATTGCAATCTGTAGCTATATTTGAGATTCACTAAAGTGATTTGCCTTGTTTCCTTGTGATTATGGATTAACAAAAAATTGATTTAGGGAGTGTTCTGTATGCAATTTAAACATGTAACGTATAAATATACCAAACAAACGAACAAAAAAAAAAAAAGAAAGTTAAGTTCAACTATTTTCTAAATGTAAAAGTTTCTCTGTTTTGATGTGAATCATGCATTTATTAAATCTAATTATTAGGTGGATTTAACGGATATTAGTGAGGACATGTGAGTTAGCACTTCTCTCATCATCTTTAACAACAACTAGCCTTTATCCCACTTAGAGGGGTTGGTTATATGAATTCTTTTTCTACAATGTGTCCTATTGAGTGTCATATTTTCATTTAATTATAATAAATTAAGATCATTTTTCATACAATATGCTTTCATACAATATGCCCATCATTTTTCATACAATATGCCCAAGCCTTTTTAGGTCTACCTTTGCCTTTCTTAACATAAGTTGAATATAAGATATCTACTTTGCCAACTGGATCATCAGTTGGTCCGTGTTTAATGTGACCAAACCATCTAGGACGACTGGACGCCTCACTCTAATTTTGTCCGCCATTGGAGCTACACCAACATTGTTATGGATATATTCTTTTTGCATTTTGTCTCTAAATGTAAAGCCACTCATCCACCTAAGCATTCTCATCTCGGCAACACTTAACTTAGTTTTATGATTCTTTTTTAAATGCCATCATTCAGCGCCATAGAGCATCGCAGGTCTCGCCTCCATTTTATAGATTTTTTCCTTCAATTTAGGCGGTGTTTTTCTATCATACAATAGGCACGAAGCATTCCTCCACTTCAACCAACAAACTTGAATTCTACTAATAACATCCCCATTTATATCACCATCACTTTGAGCAATAGGCCCTAGATAACTAACGCGTTCACATCATTTAATAATTTGATCACCCATAGTTACAACTTTGTCACTGTAGCTATTATTACTAAAAATACATTCCATGAAATTAGTTTTTGTTTTACTCAAACGACAGTCTTTATACTCCAATGTAGACCTCCATAATTCAAGTTTTTCCTGAGTTTTTCTTCTAGTATTGCCCACAAGAAGGATAGCATCAGCAAAAATCATACTCCAAGGTACATCCTCCTCTAAATGTCTAGTAAGAGCATCCATAACAAAAGCAAAAAGATATGGGCTTAAAGTTGATCCCTAATGCAATCCCACTGAAATAGAAAAATGTTTGGTCAATCCTTCTTCTGTTCGAACACAAGTAACAGCTCTAGTATACATATCTTTCATGACTTGAATATAAGTTATTTCAACACATTTCTTATCTAGAACTCTCAGAAGAATATCTCTTGGAACCTTATCGTAAGCATTTTTCTAAATCATTAAAAATTATATGTAAAAAAATCCTACATATGATTAACACCTTTCTCATAATCAATTTGGATTTTTGTCAGTCAAGCCTATAATGGAAGCTATACATTTATTGAGAAGTTTGATGGAGAAATTCAGAGATAATAAGGAGAATGTACATTTGATTTTTATTGATTTAGAAAAAGCTTACGATAAGGATCCAAGAGATATCCTTTGGAGAGTTCTTGAGAAGAAAGGTATTAATATGACTTAAATTCAAGTCATTAAAGATATGTATACTAGAGTTGTTACTTGTGTTCAAACTGAAGGAGGATTGACCAATTATTTTCATATTTCTGTTGGATTACATCAGAGATTGACTTTAAGCCCTTATCTTTTTTGCTTTAGTTATGTATGGTCTTACTAGACATTTACAGGAGGATGTACCTTGGTGTATGCTTTTTGTTGATGATATCCTTCTCATGGATAAGACGAGAGAAGAAGCCTGGGAAAAACTTGAATTATGGAGGTCTACATTGGAGTCTAAAGACCTTCATTTGAGTAACTAAAATTGAATACATGGAATGTAATTTTAGTAGTAGTAGCTCTAGTGACAGAGTGTAACTTTGGGTGATCAAATTATTAAAAGGTCTAAACGATTTAGATATCTCGGGTATGTTGTTCAAAGTGATGGTGATATAGATGGGGATGTTAAGAGTAGAATTCAAGTTGGTTGGTTGAAGTGGAGGAATGTTTCGGGCTTTTTTGTGTGATAGAAAAGTTTCGCTTATACTGAAAGGAAATTTTTATAAGAAGGTCAATGCTCTATGGCGTTGAATGTTGACCTTTAAAATAGAAGCATAATACTAAGTTAAGTGTTACAAGATGAGAATGATTAGGTGGATGAGTGGCTTTACACTTAGAGATAAAATGCAAAATGATTATATCTGTGATAGGGTTGGTGTAGCTCCTGTGATGGACATAATTAGAGAAAGTCGTCTTAGATGGTTTGGTCACATTAATCGTCGAAAATTTGATGATCCGATTAGGAGAGTAGATGTTTTAGATTCGACTTTTGTTAAGAAAGGTAGAGGTAAACCTTGGAAGACTTGGGCTTATTGTATAAAAAATAATCTTAATTTATTTGAGCTAAATGAAAATATGACACTAAGTAGAACGCAATGGAGAAAAAAAAAAGATTCAAAAAGATTCAAGTAGCCGACCCCACTTAGTGGGATTAAGGCTTTGTTGTTGTTGTTGTTGTTGTTGTTGTTGTTGTTGTAATAAAAATCATATGTATATCCTCCTTATTCTCTTTGTACTCATTCATCAAACCTCTCAATAAATGTATAGCTTTCATTGTAGACCTGCCCGACATAGATTGAAACTAATTATGAGAAATATTTGTAGTACGTCTTAACCTATGTTCAATTACTCTCTCCATAATTTTAAAGTATGACACACCAACTTAATTCTTTTATAATTTACAAACTCTTGTACAACCCCTTTATTCTTAAAAATAGGGATCAAAATAATCTTCCTCCACTCCTTTTTAGCTTTTAACTGAATTAATTGAACCAAATGTTTTTTTGGATTAAACCCTTTTGGATTTGATAAATCTAGATTTATAGAATTTATTAAATCCTGATTGTAGCCAAACACCCTTTTTAATCGATTATTATAGTTCTCTATTTCCTTATATATATCATAAATAGTGGGTGATTGTGTGGCCTAAAAGGCCATCCATCCATTGAATCATCTGTTCTTCATCGGAAAAGATAAACAAAAGATTAAGTTTAGTTCAATCTCCCTTTATGATTATTTTTTGAGATATACATACCGCCCGAAACTTGATATTTACAAATTAATTATCGAGTTTCTTTTTTTTTTTACCTATCAAACCAAAGTATTTATTTGTGTCGCGATGAAACTATTGAGAATTTGATAAAAATAAAAAATATGGGTTGGGGTTATACCATGAATTTGATATTTGAGTGGGAGAATTTGATAAAAATGAAAAATATGGGTTGGGGTTATACCTCCCGCTTGAAAAATGGATGAAATAGGATGGTTAATTTGTACTTAGGAAGTTTTGGGTTGTCTGCATGTAATTGCCCTTAGTTTTTTCCCCTCTAAAGTTAGATTTCTCTATAAATTGGCATTCTTTCTCTTCTTTTCTTCTCTCCAACATGCTAGGCATCTAATGGGGAGTATATTGTAAATTAATATAGGATGAAAGTAAATTATATGTGGATGAAAATTATGGATTAATTAGGGTTCTAAATGAATGGAATCAGGCTCTGTATTATTTAAGCTTGTTCATTTTGTTCAAATTGTGTTCGATTGAGATTGAGTATGACTCAAATTTTAAAATTTTGCTTAATCTTGTTTATTATTTTCTTAAGCAAGTTATTGCTGGAACAATTTTTTAGTGAAGCCATATAAATTATTAATTTGATGCTCATAAAAATATATCTTGACTAGAGAAGAATTAATTTATGGAGTTTAATCAAAATTAATACAATTTATTAGAAATTGCTTAAATTATATGATGAATTTTAAATATTTATAAGAAAATATTTAGGTTTGCATATATGGTTACTAATTATATATTTATATATAATACAATATTTTTAAAATGTAAAAGACATTAGCAAAATTGGGCTGAAAAATAACCTTTTAATTGGGTTCCTAAATCACATAAAAGAGAGCAATTTATTGGATGGAAATTTTTCTAATTCAATCATCGGCATAACTTTATAAAGAATATACTAGCATTCAAGTCACAAAATTTTATGTTCAACCTCATTCGCTACACCAATCCTTATCCCCCTCCTTTTCTTTGGTCCATTTTGTGCTCGAGTATATTGATAAAAGGGTAAAAAAGGCTAATCAAACAAGGATCGAGGTAATAAAATGTTTTGGCGGATTAATCAAGGGCAAGGAAGCTCTAAGATAGGTTTACTTTTTGTGTTTCTGATGGTGGTGGTGCCTATTTGGATTGTTGACTATCTTTAATCTTTTAGGACAAATGTGATGAGATTTTAGACCTTTGCTTCTCTTATACCAAATAATAAGTAGATAGTTAAAAGGTTTGCTCATCTACTATTAGTGGAAAGCTAAAGAAGGCAGGGATTGGTATTGGAATTTTAAGAAATACTTCTATTAAAACTTTGTTAAAGTAGTGGGTTGTGTTTTTTTTATAGAATTATCATGAATACTAAATCCAAATCTAGGATGAATAATAAAAATCGCAACACTAAAAATAAGCCTAGTTATATTAAATATATTTTTTGAGTTGTAAATTCAATCATATCTAACAATTATAATGAAATTTTATCTTGGCATAATTACTTTTTGGCCGAGCCCATGAATTAAATAGGTCAAGATTCTTCAGAAATAAAGATCCTTCATTGCATTTCTACTTGTGATTGTGAGTATTAGATGCACCTACAAAGCCTTCCGATTTTAACTACATCAATTAGATTTTTATAATGCCCAAAAAAATCATAAAGGTGATAAGTACATTTCTCCAAAAAAAATTATGCCCAATATTATGCAACGTCTTATTAAAGTTATTTCTTAATGCTTTGATGAGAATCACTATTAATACACTCAATTATTTATAGAATAATCTACAACATGC